ACACACACACACACACACACACACGATGGACAAATGGAATGCAACTAGCCTGATGCTGTACTGGACCTGTCTCCAATATGGAAAGGAAACTCCAGACACTGGCTTTGCTTCTAGCTTTACTGAAGCCCCAGCTACACTCCTTCTATGGCTGTGCTAAGGGAAGTGGGACTTTCGAAACACAGGGATTTAAAAATCACTTGTAAAAAAAAAATAATAATAAAATAAAAATCACTTGTTCTTCTGTGCAAGTCTCAGAAAATTCTTTTTCTCGGGATAGCAAGAAATCCAGCAGCACCCAGTGGGGAAGAGAACCCCCCACTTCTTCCGATATCAAAGGGATTAAAAAGAACAAATTGGTTGGTTGTTACAGAATAGTCATGATGAGGATGTAAAACACAGAATAGGGAACATAACCAATAATATTGTCATAACTATGTATGGTGTCAGATGAGCACTAGATTTATCATGAAGATCAATTAGTAAGTTATATAATCACTGGGGTGCACACCCAATATTACATATTGTATGTAATATTGTATATCAAATGTAATTGAAGAAAAATATTTTAAAAAAACATTAAAGACGCCCTAACCGGTGTGGCTAAGTGGGTAGAGCCTCGGCCTGTGGACTGAAGGGTCACAGGTTCGATTTCGGTCAAAGGCATGTACCTTGGATGCGGGCACATCCCCAGTGGGAGGTGTGCAGGAGGCAGCTGATCGATGTTTCTCTCTCATCGATGTTTCTAACTCTCTATCCCTCTCCCTTCCTCTCTGTAAAAAATCAGTAAAATATATATTTTTAAAAAAACATTAAAGACTAAGTGATTTCAACTTAAAATATCCAACATAATTTTGCTCAATTACACATAGCAAGTTATTTCTCTTGCCTCTGTTGTGTAAATATGGAGTGGCTCAATTCCTACAGCGGTCAAGACCGAATGGAAAAGACACAATCCTTTGGGCAACCAGTTGCGCAAGGCGGTGGCTGGAGGGGCCGGGAGGCACCCTGTCTGACTGCCTGCAGCTCTGAGAGGGCCTGCAGGGGGTCGGGGCCGTTTCCGGGGTGCTCGGAGGAGGACGGAGATTCCGCTTCAGAGGACTCTCCCGCACCCCTTACGGAGGCCTGCTCTGCGAGCTGAGCACCGCCAGCGTCGGAGCAGGCCAGTCATCCCCAGGTTCTGGAGCTGGCGGAAGCAGGGGTGGGGAGCACACGTTACCCGGAGAAGAACCAGTTCAACGGGCCTTCTTCAGCTGGCTGATGTGTGGAGCGCCACCACAGCACGGCCTGGAACCCATGGCATCCAGGCTAGGCACCAATTCAACACTTTATTCCCGCGCCTCACACCGCACGCCGGAGCGCCAAAGCGCACACTCAGAGCACCAGGAGACCAGCCTTCCCCACCCCTTCCTCCGGAGCCCGCCCCGCCCCCGTGCGCCACGCCGCGCCGCGCCGCGGGGTTGCAGCCCTCCCATCACAGCGCCGCTGACTAAGCGGTGCGCATGCGCGGGGACTGGCGCTGCCGCAGAGCACTCCGGGAATTGTAGTCTCTGTGCGGGAGCCGCGGGCCTCGAGAATCCTGCATCCTGGCGGAACCTGGACAACTCGGAACACTCTAGACACCCCGGCCCTTCTTCCCATCTTCACACCTGTCCCGTCACCTCGCACTCACTCGCTGGGCTTCGGTCAGGGCGCACCCCAAGGGAGAGCGCGAGATCCCCGGGTC